CTTGCAGCTGGAAAATTGCAGCAAAAGGTGGTTCTAAAAGAATTGACTCCGGGGGGCTGAATACAAATGCACACCACACTTGTCAGATAACTACTTGTAAAAAAATTTGAAAACCATTTATCATTTTCCTTCCACTTCCCAATTAAGAGCAACTTTATGTTGGTCTATCACATAAAAAACATTTACATTTTTGGTTTTAACATAACAAAATGTGGAAAATCTCAAGGGGTATGAATACTTTAAGACACTGTATATACTTGTAGAATTTCTGGACATTTGATCTCAGCTGTTTTTCAGCTTGCTTTTATTATATTCATGGTTCAAGAATACAATTACTTTTTAGTCCCCACTCACACCTGTTTTATTATATACAGTCAAGTCCATAAATATTGGGACATCGACACAATTCTAACATTTTTGGCTCTATACACCACCACAATGGATTTGAAATGAAACCAACAAGATGTGCTTTAACTGCAGACTGTCAGCTTTAATTTGAGAGTATTTACATCCAAATCAGGTGAACGGTGTAGGAATTGCTACAGTTTGCATATGTGCCTCCCACTTGTTAAGGGACCAAAAGTAATGGGACAATTGGCTTCTCAGCTGTTCCATGGCCAGGTGTGTGTTATTCCCTCATTATCCCAATTACAATGAGCAGATAAAAGGTCCAGAGTTCATTTCAAGTGTGCTATTTGCATTTGGAATCTGTTGATGTCAACTCTCAAGATGAGATCCAAAGAGCTGTCACTATCAGTGAAGCAAGCCATCATTAGGCTGAAAAAACAAAACAAACCCATCAGAGAGATAGCAAAAACATTAGGCGTGGCCAAAACAACTGTTTGGAACATTCTTAAAAAGAAGGAATGCACCGGTGAGCTCAGCAACACCAAAAGACCTGGAAGACCACGGAAAATAACTGTGGTGGATGACCGAAGAATTCTTTCCCTGGTGAAGAAAACACCCTTCACAACACTTGGCCAGATCAAGAACACTCTCCAGGAGGTAGGTGTATGTGTGTCAAAGTCAACAATCAAGAGAAGACTTCACCAGAGTGAATACAGAGGGTTCACCACAAGATGGAAACCATTGGTGAGCCTCAAAAACAGGAAGGCCAGATTAGAGTTTGCCAAACGACATCTAAAAAAGCCTTCACAGTTCTGGAACAACATCCTATGGACAGATGAGACCAAGATCAACTTGTACCAGAGTGATGGGAAGAGAAGAGTATGGAAGAAAGGAACTGCTCATGATCCTAAGCATACCACCTCATCAGTGAAGCATGGTGGTGGTAGTGTCATGGCGTGGGCATGTATGGCTGCCAATGGAACTGGTTCTCTTGTATTTATTGATGATGTGACTGCTGACAAAAGCAGCAGGATGAATTCTGAAGTGTTTCAGGCAATATTATCTGCTCATATTCAGCCAAATGCTTCACAACTCATTGGACGCCGCTTCACAGTGCAGATGGACAATGACCCAAAGCATACTGCAAAAGCAACCAAAGAGTTTTTTAAGGGAAAGAAGTGGAATGTTATGCAATGGCCAAGTCAATCACCTGCCCTGAATCCGATTGAGCATGCATTTCACTTGCTGAAGACAAAACTGAAGGGGAAATGCCCCAAGAACAAGCAGGAACTGAAGACAGTTGCAGTAGAGGCCTGGCAGAGCATCACCAGGGATGAAACCCAGCGTCTGGTGATGTCTATGCGTCCCAGACTTCAGGCTGTAATTGACTGCAAAGGATTTGCAACCAAGTATTAAAAAGTGAAAGTTTGATTTAGGATTATTATTGTGTCCCATTACTTAACAAGTGGGAGGCACATATGCAAACTGTTGTAATTCCTACACGGTTCACCTGATTTGGATGTAAATACCCTCAAATTAAAGCTGACAGTCTGCAGTTAAAGTACATCTTGTTCCTTTCATTTCAAATCCATTGTGGTGGTGTATAGAGCCAAAAATGTTAGAATTTTGTCGATGTCCCAATATTTATGGACCTGACTGTATATTTCTTAGCATTAAGGACACCACTGATCCTGACCAAGTCTCCAAATCCATTTGCAGAAATGCTGCCCAAACCTTGCAAAGAACCTCCACCATGCTTCACTGTTGCCTGCAGACACTAATAGCACCGCTCTTCAGCCCTTCACTAACAAACTGCCTCCTGCTACAGCCAAAATTTCAGATTTTGACTCATCAGTCCAGAGCACCTTCTGCCATTTTTCTGCATCCCAGTGCCTATGTTTTGTGCATAGTTGAGTTGCTTAGCCTCGTTTCCATGTCCTGTGCTCTTCATGGGCATTTTTTTTATTTCACCTGGAGGCTCTCTCAGCTAAGCACACCCTCCTGCCTGCATGCCAGAGCCAAGGGCAGATGGACTCCAGGAAGTGAATAGTCTGCCCTTACTCAAGATGGACACAACTAGAAATACTAGGGGGGGGTCAAAGTGATTTCTCAACATAATAAAGCATGGGAGACATGGGTGGATGAATGGGTGAGTTTGTAAATGCTATTTTAATTTGCTTTTATTCATAGTTTGTGGTGCACAGATACAGTTTAGTCCCAGTTTACACGCAAAAAAAAAAACAAAAACAAAACTGAAGCTATGCCTAGCTGGAAGGGATTATGCCTGGGTCAAGATTTCATTTTTTTTTTTTTTTGCTAGTGTGCAATCTCCTGAAGGTGCATCACAGCACTATTATAATGGATATGAAGCTGCGGGGGGGGATTTACTAAAACTGGTGCAGAGTCTGGTGCAGCTGTGGATGGTAGCCAATCACCTGACTTCAACTTGCTCAGTTAAGTTGTGGAAATAAAACCTGGAAGCCGTTTGGTTTCTATTCTGAGCTGCACCAGATTTTGCACTCTTCGGGTTTAATAACCTCCACTTTGTCCTAGGATGTACTATAGAGAAAAGGAAATGGAGTTTTCAGCGGCAGAGCCAATTAAAGGCATCCTACCTTCTGAAGCATGACAGTTAGAACGGGCTATACAGTGACCGGACGTCAACATGTTTTCTGTTTGTCAGTGTCCACCTACTGTAGGGAGCTGTATTGACAAGACATGTCAGACTATTCTATGTTCCTCAATGGATAGCTAGCAACATTAAATGTGTGTCCTGTGTAAACCTGGAGTTCTGCTTTAAGTTCTTCTGCTTTGAGCTTTTCTGTCCCAATGACCAGGAAACAGGAAGGGTGTACTAGACAAAAACCCATCTAAATGCCTACTTCCCCATCTCTGGTTAAAGGTTTTAAATGCTGTTTTTGTGAGATTTCTCCTTACATCCTTTTTTTTTTTTTTTTTTTTTATCTTTATTCAGATTTTCAATTTTCCTTTTCACCAAATTACAAAAGAAAATGAAATACAGAATCCCGATAAAAGGGAACCATGCATTAGACAAAAACTACATCCCCTCTTGATGTATCACTAGGAAAGAAAGTTGGGTAAATCTTCCAAGGAGTTCACACTTCTTTCTCTGCAAAAATGGGATTTTTGTACTCATCGTAAAAATTGAGTTCATTAACTCCTTCCTACCGGCGCCTTCCTGCCCTTTAAGAATTTCAGAAGCCGGGAGGGGTGTGATTCAGGGATCATGTGACCGCCGTAACGCGTCGTCACAGCGGTCACATGATTGGGAAAGGTCCCAATCGAAAGAGCAGACCGGGACCATTCCGTGAGTACCGGACATGTGTGCTGGGAGTGCGCAGGGCGCGCGCTCTCAGCACATTTGGTTTTTCTTACATGAACGCAAATGTGCGGCCGCTCGGCGTCTAGGCCCAGACGCCGGGAGGCCGCACATTTGCGTGCAGCCGGCATAAAGGGGTTAAAAGGACAGAGCTGAATCTGTAGATTGTAAGCATTATGATCTAAAAATATAGGCTGTGTCACTCAATGAATGGAAAAGAAAAAAAAAAAAAAGAAGGTTGCTTTGAGCGCAACTTCAAATGAAAAAAATGCAGTATAGCTTTTTTTTTTTTTTACCCTTCCTGCACTGCATCAGCAATGGAATTTGGTCCTTTCTGCTGCCAAGCCAGTTCTGGTCGATCACTCCCTCCAGCCCCTTTAGAAATGTTATCAATGCCTTGGCACGGATCATGTGACCAGAGGAAGCATAGATTATTCCTCCCTCCACCATGTACCGTTTACCTTTAGATATTTGAACAGGTAAAACCTAATGGAACAGTAAAACAAATACAAAAGTAAAGAAAAAATAAAGCAAAAACGACAGAATACGAACACAAATAACGGTTTTATTTTCCTTGTTTGAAAGTACTGCAGTAATAAAAAAATTACAATGTACTCCATGACCCGTTAACTGACCAGGTCGCTTGCCCTTTTCCCCACCCCTCCTCTTCTGAATGGTCAAAGTAAATAAGCCAAAAGGAAATGTTAATTAAATTAAAGTAATACATTTGAACAAAAATATGTCTAAATCAATGCAATACACAAATCCAGGCACATCAGTGCTAGTTCTAAATCAATGTAAAATTATAAGAGCCTGCTTATTTACATTTTACTTAGAACACGCATTCTAGCAGAGCATCATGGCTACAATAGTATTCATTTAAAAAACTTGAGGAAAAATAAAAACAAAAAACCCCATCTATAAGTAACTTCCCTATAAGCCCGCAAAATATTAAAGGGAGGAAAACAAAAAAGATATTTAAATCAAATTTACATGGCGTCTTTGGAGCAACTCCAAAAACCAGAGGTATATTTTGTACAGTCTAAAAAAAGTGTTTTGGTTTTCCGACTTGTAGGTCTTCTGGTCGCACACCTCTGAGAAGTGTTCTTATCGGCAGTAAGACATTGCAACTCCAAAAAGCGGAACCGTTAACTAGTGTGTGTCTGTTTTGCAATCGCCAAAACTTTTCCAGGGATTGTAAACACTTCCGTGAAGCCCGTCCTGCAACGAGGTAAGCTTCATAGAACTATAGACAGGCATAGGTCAGCTGCCACAGAAGTCCACCCGATGTACAGTATGGAGGCCCGAGGTGTTACACCTTCCCAAGACTGGCTTCGTTTGCCTTCAGTATTGCCACCGCATCTTTCACAGCGTGGTAGATGACGTTCTTCACCTGCACATGCAAAGAATTTACATTCAAATACAGAAGTATATTTTTAATCATCAATAAAATATCTAGAGGTACTTTGACCAGTTTCTGAACCCTCCCAGGTACACCCAAATCCCAGGGCCTCCCAATGGGGGAGGAAAGAAAAAAAAAAAAAAAAAAAAAAAAACGCAACACCAATACTATGCCCTCTAGCTGTTGAAGTACTACAAGTCCCAGCATGTCTCTAAGAGCCTACCACATGAAAGCCTCATGGGACTGTTCTGTTTTATGTACAATTGCCCTGGATAGGTGCTATTTTAAAAATGCAGAATCTTCACATCAGCCTGACAGTTCCTTAGGTGGTGGATAGGCCAGACAGAATCACAGACGTTCCAATGGGGACAGACATGGATCACCTCGGGGGACCATCACCTCGACTTATGTGAAATTTGAGGATTCTGCTGAAGGCCAAAACTTACACACAGTGAAGACTGAAGAAAGGGAAGATAATATTAATGCTGCTTGTTTTTTTTTTTTTTTTTTTTTAACCTCCTCGGCGGTATGATTCTTTCCGATTTTTTGTGCTGAAAGCGGTACCATTATTTTGCATGGAAATATGTAGTTTTTTATTGTAGGCTGTAATTTTTAGGAATAACTCACTGAAATCTGTCCGAACAAGAGTCTAGTAAACATTCCAGATATGATAAAACTTGAAACACGAAATCATAAATTATAATTTAATAAATAATCATAAAAAATAATAATATAATAATAAATTTAATTCAATAATATAATCAAACCAAAAACGCTGAAATTTGAAATACAGAGGCAAATTTGCACATCGCTGAGCAAAGTCGCAAAATCGTTTTCAGTGTCTGATGACGAATTTCCCCACAAATCATTATCACTCAATTCTGCAAGTGGTCCTGATTTACTATCGCTGTTCTCTAGCCAGTCTAAAACCGCTTTTGACGTAAAGGGACGCTTTTTGGCCGCCATAGACTTTTCTAAGTTTCCAGGCAGAAAGAACAGTCAAAATGCAGGCAGGGCGCAGGACAAAGCAGTAGGGACAAAATGTATGTGAAATGCAGTGAAAAAAAAAGCAATGACAGCAAAAATGTCATTTTTTAAAAATTTCAAATTTTCCGCCGGTTCCGCCGCCCGAACGTTCCGACGTCACAGGGACCGGAACACGGAAGTCAGATGCCGGCATCCGCCGGAGGAGATGGACGGGGACGCTGCAGGGGACACATCGTGGGAGCGAAGGACAAGGTAAGTGCTGCAGGGACCCCCAGAGAATGCTGCATGGTAAGCCCGAGTGTAGCTCGGGGTTACCGTTCTTGGTATAGAAATTCTACCCCGAGCTACACTCGGGAATACCGCTAAGGAGGTTAAACAGCGTCACTAAGTGAACTAACTTTCCCTGCAGCACCCTGATCCAGCGAATATGGGGAGATGGGATCTTCTCCCCATACTCGCTGCCACAATTCAAAGAGCATGGCTCCGCACACACAGCCGCATCACTGATCCCTGTGAATCAATGAACTACAAGTACCAAAATCCTTTGTGGCTGTTGGCTTGTAGTGCTCAAAGAAGTATCACGGCATTGTTGAGCACTGTGGTAGTTCATGTATTCTTCCGGTCAGCGTAAAACTGCCTACCTGTATGATGTACCAGCAGACAGCTACACTGACAGTCTGCAGGAGTCCTGCATGGCACCAGCAAACTGCTGATCCCTGGGTGCAATGCTTTCCAAGCTCCTAACACAAAACAATAGTAAAATGCACATTTTACCTGCAAAAAAATTTGCATGTATTATTTTTTGCTAAGGGATGAACTAATCCCTTAACTTGGGTTTTAGTTTCAACTTCCGTGGTACCCAAGACATTTGAATTACATTAGAAATGTCTAAAACAAACATGTATAGCACAAAAACTAAAAACACCTCTATAAACCATCACTCCTACATACTCAGATATAATTGTAGGTTCAAGAAGTGACAGCTAATGGTGAGTAAGCACATCAGGAGCAGCTGTTCACCATGCAGCTATTACTAGTGATACATGTACTGTGGTTTGGAGCAAACAAGGTCTTCTTATGGTAGTATTCTGCTTACAATACACATCATGTTTGATTAACTTCCTCTGTTAGGTCTACATTCTCTATACATTTTATAGACATCACTGGGCAGACAGGATCTGCAGCAACTGTGCATGGCAACCAGCTTCTAGCTTTAGCTTGTTCCAGTAAATCAGAACTAAAAGCATAAAAAAAAACCAAAACAAAAACACACACAAACAAACAAAACACCACACCAACAACTCAAATGACATCACCAGCACAGTCTCAAAGTGTGTCAGGATGACTGACTTGTGCTCATGCACATCCAATGAAGAGGCCTGAAGACTGGCACCCGAAAGGAGCCAAGGAGACCCTGGTGAGGTATCTCTTCCTACAGAGAGATGGCAAGTATAACAAGTTTCAGCCTTGAAAATCAGAATACACCGATTGGTTGTCATGCATACCTGCTCCAGATTCTGTCTGCTCTAGTTTTAATGAATAATTTCTCTCAATGTACATATTTTATTCTGCAACTTGTCGTCGTCATCACAACATTTGAACTATGTTGCTGGTACATAAAGATGATAAAAACCTCAATTCACAAAGCTTTAAACATTTAACATTTTTGGATTTCATTGGACTGCATTTTTGAAAATAAGGATCCTAATCCCAGGGGGTTAAAATAAATTGGAATAAAAAATTGCTATGATGGGAAGGTTTTTTTTCTTAAAGCAACAGCGACAAAGCTGCATCAGTGACTTTGTAATAATTCACATAAATAAATCCTAAAAATGGATGTTGGCCAAGCGATTCAAGCAGGAGCTAATCAGAAAGGAATTTCAACTGTCAAGTGGACAGAAGAGGTCACAAACACACAACAGCACATCACTTTTGTCTTTTCATCCTTGAGGTACAGACCTCCTTCGTGACTTACACCAATAATGTTCAAAATGAGCATTTTAAAAATTTGAACAAACTGCCCTAAAAAGTACCAGCTGGAATATGGGGAGTATGCCACCACCAGTTACATTTTGAGAAGTGAAAACCACCCTACAAATACCCCAAAGAAGAAAATCGGAAAGCCTCTCATACCTGTAGCTTGTCCTCGTGGTTTGTATGTGTATGGGAAAGATAGCGGAATTCCTGAGTCAGCCAGAAACAGTGCTTAACGTGCTCCGGGGATACAAAGTCTTCTGCAACCTTTATACAGCTGTACAAGTTGTGCACCTGAAATCGGAGAAAATGAATGAAACCATAAAACAAACCCAACATCTCTTCAGATGTCAGCATTTCACAGGCAAGGACAGCAGGGCCAGCAAAAGATGAAATTACCTGATGAGGGGCTCCAGCTGGAATGAAGACTACATCTCCCAGGAACTGTACAATTGCCCAGCCCTGAACCCCATGTTCCTGCAGAAGCCTCTTCCTCAGAATGCTGTCTAGGTACCAGCTCTGATCGTGGATTGGATCGTGATCTGGGGGGTTCTCCTGGCCCTGCTCCTCTGCCACCTTTAGAAACAGCACATAATATCAACTTAACATTGTATTTTTTTTTTTTTAGCTGGGTATGAAAACCAATCAAAGCCTAATTTTAAAGTGTTCCTAAACCCCCGACCCCGCACCCACTACGTCCCGCCTTCCCGGCACCCACTACGTCCCCGCCTTCCCCGCACCCACTACGTCCCGTCTCCCCGTACGTCCCGCCCCCCCCGCACCCACTACGTCCCGTCTCCCCGGACCCCGCACCCACTACGTCCCGTCTCCCCCCCGGACCCCGCACCCACTACGTCCCGTCTCCCCGGACCCCGCACCCACTACGTCCCGTCTCCCCGGACCCCGCACCCACTACGTCCCGTCTCCCCGGGACCCCGCACCCACTACGTCCCGTCTCCCCGGACCCCGCACCCACTACGTCCCGTCTCCCCGGGACCCCGCACCCACTACGTCCCGTCTCCCCCCGTCTCCCCGGGACCCCGCACCCACTACATCCCGTCTCCCCGGACCCCGCACCCACTACATCCCGTCTCCCCGGACCCCGCACCCACTACATCCCGTCTCCCCAGACCCCGCACCCACTACATCCCGTCTCCCCCACCCACCCACTACATCCCGTCTCCCCGGACCCCGCACTCACTATATCTGGTCTCCCCGGACCCCGCACCCACTACATCCCATCTCCCCGGACCCTGCATTCACTATATTTGGTCTCCCCGGACCCTGCATTCACTATATCTGGTCTCCAACAGTACACACAACATGGAAATGCAATTATTTTAATAAATCTAAACGGATGAGAAAAGGTATTCAACAGTAGTATATGGCAGTCTTGTGACTATCAGTGTTCAGCAGAGCACATGTTAAAGCTTGTAGGAGTTTTCATTTTGCTCTAGGAGGATGCAGAACCATGATTCTGTATGGACAGTACTGATTGGGCCTGTACTGATCACATGCACTCTTCCAAGGGAAAAAAAAACCATCTCTAGCAATATACACCGCACTGAGCATGTGTAGAGTGTCTCCACATATGTCTTATCAGGAGATAAGAGGTGGACACTGGAAGAAGGGGAGGATCACAGAAGTCAGGATCAAACTGCCTTTTTGCACAATGCAGAGGATTAACCCCTTAGGATCCACAGTGAGTATAACAAGCATGCTTTACTGCATCTACAGACTGATTGTACTGTTGTGGGTTTAGCAACACTAAGTTCTAGAACTTAATTGCGTTTTAGAGTAGCTTTACACATCATTCCACATATAAATTCTTTTTTTTTTGTCTTAACTCAGACAGCATAAGAGGATCAGGTTTTTTTTTTTCTTTTGCTTTAATCACTATGTATTGGCATTTAACACTGACAGTCCTTTGAAGAAATTTTAATGCTACAGGAGTTTTATTGGCTTCCTGAATTGTCGCTTGTGATTGGCTGTCACAGTGATTAGGAGCCTGTCTCTACCAACTCCTGATCATCACTGTGAACAACAAATGTTGATGACGACATGGTCACAGGGCTGAGTGCACTCCCAATATAAAAGCAGTAACACATGTGGCAGGGTGGAATAAGGATCATATCTGTGCTGCCACATATATGGCCATTGAGAAGGGTTCATTGTACTAACCGGCATCACTCTGAAGAGTTGAACCTCAGTATTCCAGCCAAGCCATTGTGAGAGAGCAGAGGAAGGTATACATCAGACCTCAGCAGAGGTTCATCTCCCCATCATGCTGCCGGCGCAGACAGCTTAGTATAGTTAAACACCCACACTTAAGGTACATTTTGCCCATACTGGGCTAAGCAATAGGTTGGCTGTATAGAGACCACTTTAGGCAACCTTCTTTAATGTGAAAAGAATCTGGCCTTGCAATTGGCTGCTCAGGTACTGTCTACTGCATTGTGGGAAGGTATGACTATTAGACACCGGGCTGCAGAATGGGACAGCAAGCTGACGTAAAAGCTGCTGCCTCCTCTAAATCAAATTGGTTATTTTTTACGGTTCTAATATCACACGGACCTTGGGACAAAGTTATTACCCAAAAACCAGTAACAGCATCCTTCATATTTCTCCCCTTTGTGTTTGGGTTGTAGTATGGAATTGGGTATTACAGCAGCTTTACACATCCGTCCACCAAAAACGCCTTCTGTAATAAGGAAATTACCTTTTTTAAGAACTGCCTGATCTTCTCAGTGTCCTTTGCTGCATAGATGTGCCACAAGGCTCCGGGCTTCTCTTTGAACTCCACAAAGCGCTTAATGGTCAGTTCATCAGCATCTCCATCTTGGACAGTCCTCAGCACTTCTGTTGCATAAGGAATCAATACTGATCGTTTGTATTCAGCTCTAAAATGCTTCCAAAACCATCAGATGAAAAAAAAAAAAAAAATCAGCCTACCTTGCTCCTGATCACCCTCATCCTGCGGGATTCCTACATACACCATAACATTGGCAGCGTCAGACACATCAAGGTGAAGGTTGGTTGTCCCAAACTTTCGGTCCTCTGGTGTAATTAAACCTATTGAAAAGTACATAGGCGCTATTATATCCAAGCAGTGAAAGAGGTAATGCTCACATAAGAGTTATCCACAGGATATCGCAGATCAAATTATACCTTGATCTGACTACAAGAACCCCCCCCCCCCTTATTGACCCCATATCTCTCCATAAAGAGAACATGCCACTAATTATTTCTATCACAGGGGATGCATGCATTTCTTGTGATAAGAATAAAAGCGATTAAAATTTATTTTAAAGGAACAGTGAAAAAAAAACAAAACAAAAAAAAAAACCCCTAAAACAAATACATTTAAATTTTTTTTTTTTTAAAGTGCTCGTGTCCCACCGTGCTCGCACATAGCAGTGTACACATACGTAGGCCATGCCCACGTATGTGAATGGTGAGGTATCGCCACAAACGACGGAGCAAGAGCAATAATTATCACACTAGACCTCCTCTGTAACTTTACACTGCTAACCTGTAGACATTTGTAAATCATCACCCATGGAGATTTTTTAAGTACCGCAGTTTCACGCCATTCCACGAGCGTGCACAATTTTAAAGCGTGACATGTTGGGTATCTATTTACTCGCAGTAACATCCTTTCATATTTTACAAAAAAATGTGGGTATATATTTTTTTTTTTTTTTTTTTTTTTTTTTTTAAATGTATTTTTTTCCAATATATATTAATTTTTAAAAATTGCGCATTTCGGTTTTCGGCCAAGTACATTTTGAATTTTAATTTTCGGCACCAGAGTTCATTTCCATGCAAAACTACTGGATTCTAAAATATGTGTGGCCTTTATCATTTAACAATTAGAAATAAGAGAAGGTAAAACATCTACTTTAAAAAAAAAAAAAAAAAAAAACTGTATGAACAGTTTTTACGCAAGCTTGACAGACCTTGTACCGTGGTATACTTTGTGTTAACAGAAAGACCACAGTAATCCCAGAAAAAAAAAAAAAAAAAAAAAGCATTTAACTCAGCAAGTTACTGAAACAGAGCAGTCTACTTTCCCCGATTTGTATACTAACCACTGTAATGGACACAGGAACAAGAGAAATCTTACCATAAGCATTGTACATTTTGGGTCCAAGATCAGGACGCACAAAGTATGTTGGAAGCCGAGAAGCAAGATTCAGCTTGCCTTCCCTTCTAGTGTATTCGGGCAGTGGGATGTTATTCATGAGATCATCAAACCTGCAAGAAATGTCCAACTTAACATTAACCATACAGATGAAGGTATTTATAAAAAACAAAAAAAAAAAACACAAACCGCTTTGAGCAGCCAGCCATATTGAAATTTTCTGTGTTACACTGATCTTCACTTAATGGACTATAGGGCTGTATTGTAAAACATGCATATTAGGACTTTCTGCTCAGTCACTGTAGCTGAACTTGAATACAGATCTCGCCCAGCTTTTTTCTAACATTTCTTATATACACATATAGAGTGTGTTTAGTATTACCGAATGTCAGCTGCTCTGTGCTTGTGTCAAATCTGCAAATCTAACTTGGACAGAATACTGCTGTCATGTGGTCTTGCAAGACACAGCAAAAGTGGTGGTACTTAAAATTGGAATATGAGTATGCCAGCCTAGAATGAGTAAATTAACTTTCAGTGAATTTAAACCCTTATATATATCCAGTGAAGTGACTGGCCTCAGGTGATAAGAGCTGAAACAAATCCTACACAATTTCTGCCTGTACAATTTATACAGCTTTGCAGAGCTTTCAGAAAACAGGGGGTGGGGAGCTGAAGTTACACTCTGCACAGCTCAGTGAGGACAGCTGAATGGAGGGAAGGGACACTTCCACTTAGCACACAGGAACAGATCTGAGGCTGTCAATCAAAGACTGTGTGCTGGAGCTCCCTCCCCTTTTTTGTTTCCTCTTGGTGTCAGGAAAACTTGTCAGGAGGTGACTCATGCTGATAGCAGAAGCAGCAGATAGAAATGACACTTAGTGCCCTGGATTGAAGCAAGTACACTGTATAGAGGGATTTGCTTTGTTTAGATTTCATGTCAGAGGTTTACAACCACTTTAACTGATAAAATGTGAAGAGGTTATTTGCTGGTGAACACAAAAGACTGCACCCCAAAACATAGCCGTGAAAGTCTCTAACTTTAAGTATATCGAGTTATCAATTATGGATTAAAGTGGAATTCTGGAATAAATAAACTACTCTTAAAACTGTCCCTTCCCCTCACCTAACACCTATGCAAGAAAGGTGTATACTTACCTACTTTCAGGCTGCTCCAGTCCAATCACAATTGCCCCGTTTCAGCCAGCGGCGGCTGCAAGGAGGAGGAGAAACCACTCTAATGGCTGGTTATGCCTAGAGATCTATAGTTTTCAAAGGCCCAACCATTGTCTTTGTCTCTCCTCTCCCCCACTGCTGCCCCTATCTGGGGCAATAACAGGACCAGATATAGTTATGATTATCCTAGATTGTAAGCTCCGAGGAGCAGGGCCCTCCTATTCCAATTGTATTGAACCGTATTGTCTACCATTATATTGTAAAGTGCTGAGCAAACTGTTGGCGCTATATAAATCCTGTATAATATTTATCCTGCTGGAACTACACTTCAAGCCATAGTAAAAAAAAAAAACAAAAAAAAACCACACACACTACTGATTTCTATTATTGATATATTCCTTTGGATTCATATAACCTGACTGGTTCTCATAGTCAGGCCATAAATGGATAAAATTGTCCATTGTTGGAGGAAATCATCCACTGTAGACAGCTCTCCCATGGTAATTCAGCCTCCACTTCCATTAAGACTGGCAAGGCTACAAAAGGGGAAACAGCAGAATACCGAATAACCTACCGAGAGGGCATCATATCTCTGAAATCTTCACCGGGAGGCCAATCTTTTAACTTCAGCACCATTGGGTCCCCCTGATCATTTTTAAGGCGTTCTGTAAATAAAAAAAATGAATACCAACAGACTGTTATAACTAAAAATCCAATCAAATGATTTGTTGACAACACTATGTTCTAAATTGCTAGTGACACAATCCTACATACTGGATATATCTTCAAAGCCGTCCCAGAAGTCGCCAACGGTAGCTCCTGTGATGATGTCGTTGGTTCTGCAGTTCACCAGGTCGGCTTCTTGCTCACCAAACTCTATCCTGAAAGACTCCGGCCTCCACAGGTCAATGTTCAATTTATTGTGGACCCCAGATACCATCACAGGCTGGAAGTGAAAACAATATTGAAAAAAAATAAATAAATGTTTTGATGAAGAGAAGCATGATTGGTCACTGAAGGTAAAAGGGTTTTTGGCGTATATTAACCACTAGTCTACAAGGCACTTCTACCCCCTTCCTGCCCAGGCCAATTTCCAGCTTTCAGCGCTGTCACACTTTGAATGACAATTGCGCGGTCATGTAACACTGTACCCATATGAAATTTTAATTTTTTTTTGTGACAGAGCTTTATTTTGGTGGTATTTAATCACCTCTGGGTTTTTTATTTTTTCTTAAACCAAAAACCAGGCTGCAGTGATGGACACTGATAGGTGGCACTGATGGGCATTAACAGGCATCACTGATGGGCACTGAAAGGCAGCACTGATATATGGCACTGACTGGCACTGATAGCAGCACCGACAAGCACTGAAGCGCACTGATAGGTGGCACTCATTAGCATTACTAGGTGGCACTGACTGGCACTGATGGGGGACACTGAAATGCAGCTCAGATGGGCACTGATATGTGGCATTGATGTGCACTGGTAGGCACTATGTGGCATTGATGGCATGGATGAGCACTGAGAGCTGGCACTGATGGACACCGACAGGTGGCACTGCTGAGGCTACACAGATCATCAGGGCACACTGATCATCTGTGTACATGTCCCCTCCGAGAAATGGTGATTTACCGGCTCTCCTCACGAGCTGTCAGCGTGACAGCTCGTGAGGAGTGAAATGCAGATAACCGGAATTTCCCGGTTTACATGCTATCAGCTGTGACTGGACACAGCTGATCACATGACCGAGCCGGCATCTTCGGCTCTTTCCGTGGATTGGTGATCCGCTGTGTCCGAGGGACACAGTGCACCGCCGATCACCACGCGCTCTCGGAGCCGCGCATGCGCGGTGAGAATGGGAGGACGTCATATGACATCCTCCCAGAACGAGAGAACCTCCTTGCGCCCGTCATTGGACTATATGGCGGGCGGGTAGCGGTTAAACTGTGTGCTCCTATTCCTGTTTCTATGAATAAAGAAGGGATGGGGCAGATTAAGCTCAAGTGTCTGAAGCATATATTCTCAAAACTTCAATGCAAGCAAATTGAGGCGTCTAGAGCTAAATGATTAAATCTTTTATTCTACCAATAGACATTTACTACTTCTTGACAATTGTATCATTAGCATTACATTGAATTTAGTGTGCTGAAATTCAGAAGGTCTCCCAACAAGCGGTTCACTTTCTCGGCAGGTTCTAATCACCTGTGTAGCCATAGCCTTAGGCTGCCTGCAAGCCTCACTGAACTCTATAGACATCACACAGTCATTGATGGACAGATGCAAGAAACCAGGAAAATAGCAGCAGCCTATTTTTATTCATTCTCTTGTGCATGGTGGTTACAAAGTTTGTTCCTTACAGGCCACTCAAAAAAGTTAGAGCTTTCAGTCTGAATCCTTCCATAGCCAACCAGGGGCGGACTGACAACTCATGGGGCCCCCAGGCAATAGGGGATCATGGAGCCCCTGGGTCCTAGCCCAAATTCAAAAAAAGTCTATGAAAAAGGTACCAGGGGCATCTCATGGGGCCCCCTACTGACCCCGGGCCCTCGGGCAGTTCCCGAGTTTCCAAATGGTCAGTCCGCCCCTGCAGCCAACATGATGACCATTTGCATCTAATTGGCTGCTGTGAGCGGTCAGAGCTTTTTCCTCAACCAGTTTCACAAACAAGATTTAAAGTCCTTTTAAGCCTAAACATTTTTTTAAACCTTAAAGCGGAGTTCCACCCAAATGGGGAAGTTCCGCTTTTAAAGACTGGTCCCTCGCTCCCCATTAAGGATTGGCACCTTCGGGGAGCTAGGGGTAAGACACGGAGTGGGGTACCCAAAATTGACAGGTACCTGCTCCCACTTCCGTGATCGCCTAGGCCAGTGGTGGGCAACCTTTTTTTTCAACTGAGCCAAATCTCGCCAAAACCACGACTGAAATTTATTTTGAGAGCCACATTTTTAAAACTGAAAATTCATCCCCCATATAGTAATTCATCCCCCCTATAGTAATTCATCCCCCCTATAGTAATTCATCCCCCCTATAGTAATTCATTCCCCATATTGTGTCAATTCACTTACCTTTGCTCAGCGCGTTCCTCTCGCCGTGTTCCCGCGCCGTTCCGGTCTTCAGGGCGGACTGTGAGAGGGGAGGAGTTCGTCACGCTGCCCCGCCTACATCCTGACAGCCAATGTTTGCCACGCTCCGCGGGCCGGATTAAAAGGTTCGCCGGGCCGTATACGGCCCGCGGGCCGTAGTTTGCCCATTGCTGGGCTAGCTGCAGAGTCCTGACTTTTGGGGCGGCCGCCCGAGAGGAGGGAGGGGTGCGGGCGCCCGGCACACAGAAGAGCCGCATTAAAGTGTGTAAAGAGCCGCATGTGGCTCGCGAGCCGCGGCTTGCCGACCACTGGCCTAGGCGATTGAAAGTGCAAGTTGTCCTCCTACCCTCCCTCCCCCCCGTAGTCTTGTGGGACACGTGACAGGTCCCAGAAGACGACGGGCCATTCAGGAAGAGCAGCGCTACTCGCACATGCGCAATGGGCACCCGGCACTGAAGATGGCAGGCTATACATGGGTCGAATACCAAACAAATTTTCTTTAGAATATCTGAAATTTTGTGCGTTTTATAATTCGATGGTGCCACCATTGATTTCGAAGTTCGAACCACCAAGCCTTCAATTTCAATTGCTACAGAAAAGGATTTGAGGCCAAGAATTTTCTTTTCTTTCCATGTCACAGCTCATGCTTGTTTCTGTTTCGATTATATTTTTCACATGATTCTCCCATTATTGATTAGAAATTTAAGTTTTTTTAAAAAAAAAAAAATTCCAACATGCCCGATCACTCAAATTCGATGGTCGAACAAAAAACATCAGTTTCTGTGGCTCACTCATGGTGCAAAATTCGAACTAAAATTTTTAAAAGAATTTCAAAATTCGACCAGTGTTTTGCCTGCTTAAATCTCCCCCAACTCCGATGCCAAACACCATCTTTGGTGCACCCAGCAAACTGTCTAAAGTCTCTTAATATCCTCCTTATTCTCCTTTCTTCTCGAAACTTCAAATTGTTCAGCTACTAGGCATCATGTAAGAGAAAAGTAAAATCCAATATCAAAAACTACAAACTATTAAACCCGCCCCCCAAAAAAAGCCACAGAACAGTAAAACACTAGCAAAAAAGCAGTGAAGGGCACAAGTATGACTGCACTGATCTAAAGCCATGAAGATAGAACACTCACCTGACCCTGTTTCCAGCACTCCCTGAATACGTTCCAGTTGCTTTTATTGCTGGGATCTTGCAGACAGAGCAATCTGTTGTCGCACAACCAATAGTGTGGTGTATTGAATCCCATGAGGCTTGGTTGGACCGCAAGCCCTTGTGGCTTTCTGACGGGATCGGTCATGGGTTTTGTTTGTACCAATGATGCAAAGATGTCATCGAGGAGCTTCGGAGTGCTCTTCTCACTGCTTTCTTGCTACAGAACAGAACATATTTCCAAGTAAGGCAGAAGAATACAGACCCATGTTCACAAAATCAAATGTCTATACAAAATGATTAAAAACACACAGAACTACAAAAGTGGTCAGAAGTAAGCCAATGGTGCCTAATAGATGTAATAATGTGATATGATACAATCTATATGTGAATTAAGAGGGCACAAACTCTTTCCAGACATGAAAACATTTTCACGCTCCAAAATGTAAAGACCAACAACATAGCTTGATCAGGTGTGCACCCCAATGCTCTGTTCATCTATCAGGAGATGAAGGACCCAGATAATCTCCAAGCTGACTTGTCAGATTGCACAGGACTGGGGACTCTGCCCCCCACATGATCAAGCTGGGCGAATCACTGCGCGGTCACCTCTGAGGAGCAAGTTAAAAAGGTATTCCATACCAAGAAAGGCCAACATTTTATTTCACTTCAAATACATTGAGCAGAGTGGTAAGGAAGCAAAGGAAATGCCAGTATATACTGCTGGGTATGGGGGCAGATAGGTGACTGTTACTTTCCACTGCATGGGCAAAGCATGGCATTCCTGATTGAAAAAAAAAAAAAAAAAAAAAAAAATTGGCAAAGATATGTGCCCTATTGATTCATTAACCACTTCAGCTCCGAAAGGTTTTATCCTCATGATCAGGCCATATTTTGCTATTCGGCACCTTGCTACTTTAACCGGTAATATAAATACAGCTTCTTTTGGTGGTATTTTTCACCACTAGGCTTTATTTTTTTTTTTTTTTTGCGATATAATGAAAAAAAGACCAACAATATTGGGTAAAAAAGAAACCCACAAAAAACTAACACAAATATTTACTTTTTGCTATAAAACATATCCCAATTAAAAAAAAAAAAAAAAAAAAAAAAATCTAAATTTCTTTACACATTTAGCCCAAAATTTATTCTGCTACGTCTGTTAAAAAAAATAAATCAATCTCATTAAAGTGTTTGGTTTATGTGACAGTTATAGCGTCTACAATCCTTGACATTTTATATATGACTTTTTTTAAGCTGCTAATGGCAGTAATCAGAGAATTATAATGGGACTGTGATTTGACGCTGACTGCCACTGACATCACCAGTGACACTAATACAGTGATCAGTGCTAATACTATAAATTGTCACTGTAATATTAGCTGGGAAGGGGTTAACATCTACAGCAATCAAGGGGTTAAATGTGTACCTAACAATGTGTATTATGTGCTGATTTTACGAACAGATCGTTTTCTGTACAGAGCTCTGTGTTGATTGTCAACACAGGACACTGGGCTGTGATTGCACACAGCTGATCAGCAGTTCCGGCCGGGACTTGCTGACTCCTGTCCGCCCTAAACCCGGAAGCAGGCAGCGACGTACAAGTACGCTGCTTTGCCTGCACATGCTGCCCGTCCGCAGTACATGGCAGGCAGGCGGACCATAAGCAGTTAAAGACAGACCCACTGCTATAAACAAACCTCAAACCAGAAGCATGACTTGTAAATATCTGGCTGCCCCACCTGAAACAAGAATTTAAAGGGACAGCACTAAGCATCTTGAACTCTGTGGCAGACCTAGCCTCCAGTATTTACTATCTCTAACCCAAACATCTATTAGATCTGCACGCGCGAGAACAATTTACCTGGAAAAAAACAAAACAAAAAAAAAAAAAAAAAACCCCACAGGCCCTTACCTTGACTGTGGAAGAATTGAGGAGATTCCGTAAAAAGCCAGAGCTATTACTGCTCATAGGGGAGAGAATGGAGCTGCTAAATGGCTGCAGAGAGGCAGCTGGCTTCCCAAAACTAGCAAATGAGGGTAGTGTTTTACTTTCTGTCTTCACTGTAGATGTGAATGGGTTATCTGTAGGAAACAAAGCACTTGTTAACAAGTAGAGCCAAGCATGTAAAGCCTAAAATCAAGATTTGTTTGTTCCTTGTGCACACTGACAAATTACACATGTACCGCCCTAGGTCAAAAGATGAAACAGCAAAGAGAACCAGTTCCACAACCTACCTTTGTTTTCCTTGTTGACATTTGTGTTGGGAAGGTTTGTCAGCCAACTTAAAGGACCAGAACTTGAAGATGAAGGTGGTTTACTACTAGGGGGTAAAGCATCTTGTGTGGAAGGCTTACTTTGCTCAGGTAAGGTTCCATTTGTGGTTTCAGTGCTGGAACTCTGCAATTACATACACAGTGGTAAGTAAGGGCTGAAAGCAGAAATAATGCACGTAACAAATGGAGGACTGCATACCTGTTTCACCTCTTCTTTCACAGTTGGTTTAGGTAAAGGCTTTTGGTTCCTATTGGAACACGGGCAGTTTGACTTGATTCCCCACTTTCCTCTGACAGAGTGAACCACATCACCCACATCATACAGTGCTGAAAGACAAAAAAAACAATGCTCACCAATTACAGGGATTATGGACTACCATGACTTAAGTCACTACAGTGCAAAGTCTGCATTTCTGCTCAGGAAGCGGCTTTAACCTCTTGGCGCCAGCCGAACACAAATGTGCGGCCTCCAGGCATCTCGGCCTAGACGCTGAGCGGCCGCACATTTGCGGTCTATTGAAAAAAAAAACCCAAAAAAAAACATGTACTCAGAGTGCGCGCCCTGCGCGTTCCCAACACACACATTCGGTACTCACGGAAAGGTCCCAATCTCCTCTTTCGATCTGGACCTTTCCTGATCATGTGACTGCCGTGACAGCGAATCACGATGGTCACATGACCTTAAAACCCAGCTCCATCTCCCGGCTTCTGGAACCCTTAAAAGGGCTGGGAGGCGCCAGCACCAAGGGGTAGCAAGAAATCAATCATTTCCCAAATCCCTCTATGCAGGCAGTGGTCAACAGGGATAGTCAGAGAATGTCAGGATTTCAAGAAGATATCATCTAGGAACAAACACATAAAAAAAAAGTCTGAGAATCACAGGATTCAATTGCTGGTATCTCTGATAATACTAGTTTCCTGGCTCTCTCTAGCTTCAAATCTTTGGAGCAACTGACCTGAAACAAGCAAAGAGATCAGAAAAGTCAGAGTGAAATCATAACTCCAGATTTGCAGACTTGTTCCAGGTCAGTGCCTCAAAATGCAGAAGACATCTTATGATAGAGAGGCAACTGGTTATTTTTATAAACTGTCAACAGTGGCAACCTCTATATTGTGTTTTCATGAAAGTGAACCTGTGAGCATAGAAAGGAGCAGCAAGTCAGATACCAGTCTAAAGTGGTTCTAAAGGCCTAAGGTTTTTTCCTTTTAGCTTTCATGCATTCTATGCATGAAGGTAAAAAGACTCTTCTCTATGCAGCACCCTCCCTAATACTCACCTAAGCCCCCTCAATCCAGCGTTGTACAGCAGAGTCTCTGCAATCCCGGGACTCCCTCTTCTCAATGGCTGAGACAGAAGCGGGAGCCATAGGCTCCCACTACTATCAATCACAGCCAGTGAGCCAATGAGAAGGGAGGGGGTGGGCCAAGATACAGCTGTGTGTGAATGGACACATGGGGCAGCGGGTGCCCCCATAGCAAGCCGCTTGCTGTGGAGGCACCAGACAGGAGGCAGGAGCAAGCAGAGCCTGCAGTGGACCCAATAGGAGGAGGATCCAGGATGCTGTGTACAAAACCACTGCACACAGCAAGTATAGACACATCTGTTATTTTTTTCTTAAAAAAATAAAAATAATAAGCCTCTAGATTCACTTTAAGGTGCAAGAACAAGGTCGGGATTTCTAATCATGCTTTTTACTCCCTAATGATACCAATAACCAGGTTACTTTAACAAGTAGCAGTCAATGTAAACTCCCCCCCCATCCTGCATACCTTCCCCTGCCCAGTCCCTCACTTTGTAGTAAAAAAAAAAAAAAAAAAAAAAAAAAAACAGGGAGGACAACCCAAGAGGTCGCATCTTTAAAAACAAGTCTGTAATATCAGACTTCAGTATAAGTTCATCTCACTCCAAAAGGTTTACTTGACACAAGATGAAGCCTCAGCATTTTTTTTTTTTTTTTTTTTTTATTTGTTGGATAAAGATTTTCTTGTCTATGGTTGTAGTGATGCTATCCAGTCGCACAGCAGACATTCACAAGGCAAATTTAATTTGTGAAAATAAATTAATTGCTCTATTTCAGGTACTTGTATAGCGCCATCAGTTTTACATATATAGTGGTAGAGAGGGGGGAAAAACAAACAAAACTGCAGCTTTGACTAAAGTTTGATAACACGCTTGCTATAGGTGTAGGCCATTTACACACCTGAAGCCTGGCCGAGTAACTCTCAAGAGATGGCATTATCCCATGCTGCCCTGTTGCCAAGACACTCTCACTGCTCTTCCCCATCACAGGGGTGATCTCCCAAACTCTGACACTCCACACGTGTGTCCCACTATATTCTCCGTCACAGCATCGCTGAGCCCAGAGCTATGATGGGAGAGGGAAAGTGCATGCGAGGGGGTGGAATTGACTGGAGTGTCATATTTAACATCCTGGCAACAAAGCAGGAAATGTTTATGCCACCTCTGGGAGTTTCAGCCATGTGATAGGAAATATGTAAATGTCCTAAACCTATAGCAAGGGCAATACAGGTGTACCTCAGTTTACAAATTTAATGTGTTCTGCGGGATGTTTCGTATTTCGAAATATTCGTAAACCAAAACGCGGTTTCCCATAGGAATGCATTGAAAACCAATTAATCCGGTCCTGAGGTCAGAAAAAAAAAAAAAAAAAAAGTTTTAAAAAAAGTCTTTTATTCGTTCAAAACTCTTTATAAAGTGCACTTTAAAAAAGGCACGGGGCCGGCGTTATAAGCGCCTCGTATTGCAAAAATAATTAGTAAACCAAGGCATTTTCCATGGATTTTCATTTGTAAACCGAAAATTACGTTAACCGAGGTACAACTGTACTTAACTTTGGTCAAAGCTGCCCAGTTTAGACACCCCTTACCTGTATAGGCAGTTTTTTTTAGTGAAGGTGAACGAACCCTATATCCAAAACACTGTAAACAGATATTTTGAAACTAATCTTCAGCTGTTGCCAGTTAGAGGCCATAGACGAGTCGATAACCAAATGACAATTCTTGGTTGTACCTTTTCTGCATTAGTGTGCCAGCTGTGACACGCGATTTTCATGTAGCAATCTAAAGTGCCTGATCCAACATGCTGGATTTGGTTTAGAAAAACAAAAAAAATGATGAGACAGTCAACAAAAATGTTCAGTTTTCGACTTGTCTATGGCCTGCCTTAACATCTGTGTTCTTTGGATTTGGAGAGGAGGAGCCGTACGCAGTGACGTCACGACCACGTGGAGGTCCGGTGGCCATCTTAGCATCATACATGGTTAGTGCTTTATCTTGGTTGTCAACTGTCTTGCATTCAATAAATATGGTTTGGAAATACTGCACTATGGGCTTCCCTCTTTTTTGGCTCCTTGTGAGTGGATACCTGTACAGAGCCAATTCCAGAGTAAGGCCTAAGGTGATGCAAACTGCCCAGGGGAAGGGGATACATATCGGTTTGTGACCAGACCGATCCTGTCCTGAAGGAGATCTCCGGCAGACAACTTGAGATATACATATATGAGCATAACTGTTGCGCATCTGGTGAGTGCGTATTCCTAACCTATTCACGGCACATCACCTGGATGACGTAAAGAGCACCTACCTGAGATCCTTTCAGATGGATCATCACTTTTAAGCACCTTTATGAACTGAACTGTTTTTAGGACTGTGTATGTGAATTGACACCCAGCACTATTTAGTGCTCACCATTATCACTTTTTAGGTTTGCGCATTTGCACTTTTGTCACTTTTTCTCCACGTATGTGATTTAGTGCAATTCATGTATGCATATACATTTGAACTTTGATATTTGTTGCTTCAGCGCCGCACCTTTCTGTCTTTGATTGTGTTCTTTGGATCGATGGAAAGAATATGGCTTTTAATTCACTATTCTTGCTTCAATCCTTTTACAGTAGCAAACCTCCCTTTTCAGGATAGCACACCTTGTGCCCTTGTCTGCCCAGTGGTTATGGCACACATTGGCCCTGCTTCCTCAGAGAAATCTATTGATGTTAGCACCCAGTGATTTGTGGCTTCTGGACTATCAGCACTCAGCCTATCCCCTTTAATTCGGCAGCACTTTGGTGGTGTCCCGTTTTACCATGCCAGGTGCCAAAACACTACAAATGCCAGTCTTGGTCTTAAAAAGAGGTGGCATCCCACAGTCCACTGCACCATAAGCACATTAAATGGGCTAGGGAACCAGCAATTAACTATTAAAACACATCTGCATATATTTTCAAAAGCACACAATAGTACATGCTATTACCGAACCAAACTTGTGAAAATACAGCAGTTAACTTAGTCTGCTTACATGCAGAGAAACTCATGTAAACTTCCCAACCTGATTGTAATTTGTATCCATGTACAGCACTGCTGAAAAGAGCCTCAAACCAGATACCAATGTTATAGCAGAATAAAGGTCAGTCTACTTCAATATATACAGGAGAAGAAAAAAAAAAGTCAACCATTTATTTTCTTTTTAAACATCCTGCCATGTTTAGCATTTCATCTGTTTGTTAAAAAAATTATATATTACCTTTTCCTGGAACAATTTGTGTTGGCATTAGATTTTCCGGTTCATGCAACTGACCCTTTGCACATTTTAACCAAGAGAAACTTTCGATACTGTCATTTCCTGCATAAAAGAACAATGGTGAACCATCAGTCACTCTTGTATATTCACGAGTTATTCCACTCAAAACTGATATTTTAGGTATCGTTCTAGGTGAAGTCTACTGGCCATCTCTCTTGTCACGCCAGTGGGTGGATCTTTCCACCACTGCTCTGGACTATATTAATGCTCATGAACTTTGGGGTCCCCAGTTCTGAGGCATACTTCGTAACAGAAAAGTCTAAAATATCCCAACATACAAAGAAGGATCCCTTTGCTGGTGAGCCAGCCCATGATCTCTCTCCTTCTCCCTCCCGTTACAGGTATTTCATCTTTGAGATTTGAGTGTTTAGCAGCACGGTCATCGTTCCTTATGTCACCAGGTCCTAGCAAACTGATAATTTGACAATAGTGTGGATACATACCTTCACTCATACTCTTCTTTTTCATTCTGTAACAGTCCATGCACACTCCAAATCCACATTTAGGACAGACCCAATGCAGATTAAAGATGGTTGTGTCGCAAACATCGCACATTTCTCGTACACCACGTACAGCACGTTTCCAGGCTACCTGTTCTGTAATATCAAAAAGAAAATTAAAAAAAAAAAAAAAAAAAAAAAAAAAAAAAAAAAAAGGAAATAAAAACACATGTCCCCAATATACCAAGAAATTATTGTTCGGGGAAAAAGCCAAAAAGAGCTTACTTTTGGGGTCTACAGATGACATCACTTCTTTTTCAGACATGACCAGTTTGCAGAAATGGTCCCCGATATTTGCCAAGATATATTTGGCTGTGTCCAGGTCCAAGCCAACAACGCTGCTGACTAATGGAAGCCACAAGTTTATGGCTTCAGCGTCATACTTATTAGGAGTCAGGAAGCCTCCTTCCTTCAGCATCCCGTGCTTATTGAAGTGTAACCTACAGGAGAGAGTTGGGAAACTATCAAAACTAACTCCAGTGCCAACTTTTCCAGTATATTACCAGTTTGTCTTCATGTAAATAGGTCTTTCAATCTTTATATAAATAGTATATTTGGTCTAATGAAAAGTAATGTTATGGCCATGTCTCACCTTCTAACATATCCCTATGCAATTACCTGTTGCCCTGCCAGGTTCCAGCTGTGCATTTGACTTTAGCTGAGGGGGCAAAGAAGAGTTTTCTGGCTGGCACTGAAAATCCAGGCTGCCAATGAAATAGCTATTTACTAAAATCCCAAGGTGCAAAATCTGGTTCAGGTCTGCACAGAAATCAATCAGTTCCCAGGTTTTATTGTCAAAGATTAACTGAACAGGTTGAAGTTAGAAGGTGACTGGGTACTATGCACAGCTCAACCAGATTCTGAGTACCCTTGTTTAGCCAATCTTCCCCCGTCCCTCCATTGTGCTGCTGTCCATTGAACAGACATGTGCACAGCTGACAAGGAAGCCAACCCCTTACAGCTCCTCCCCTCATTTTCAGAAACAGCGGAAAAGTCTAACGCACGGCCATTCCTATAATAGGTCACTTCCTTTCCTCCAAAAGCCCACGACTTCCACCCAGAGAGAAAGGAAGCAATCAAATGACAAATAAATTTACATGGCTTTTTTTTTTTTGCAAACCAACCAAGCTGCCCAGCAATCTGAGCAAAATTATAGATGGATGGGGACACACCATATTAACAATGGCAGGGGTGTTTTTATCCATGTATGGAATGCACTTGGACACAAACTGCAGCCCGAGCTTTGTTCTGGTATTAGCAGAAAGGGTTATACATTTTCTATGCAGTATTTATAATTTAAATTATACAAACTTCACTATTACTTCTCCCATTTCCAACACACACATGCATTGTTCTGGCCTGCTCACATTTTCATATACTGCTGGAACAAGTTATATAACCCAGAAATCGGTTCACATTCTCTTAGCATTATTCGGTGCTAGCTTTATGCTGGGAATGTCATTTCAAACAAAACCTACTTTAGGAGGCCAAAATTATGAGAGGGGTACTGCACTGCAAACTTAATCCCAGATTACATTTCTTCAGAGCTATGAATGTGAATAACTAGATTCATATATATATATATATATATATATATATATATATATATATATATATATATATATATATATATATATATATTTAAATGCAGAATTCACATTTTTGTGTGCAACGGGTTCCAGAGAACAATGAAGGGGGGGGGGGGGGGGAGAGAGAAAAAAAAAAAAAAAAAAAAAAAAAAAAAAAAAAAAAACAAGGCCAAAAGGGATCTTACCGTCTGAAGTGAAAGAAGCGGCAGAAAACAGCAGAATCTCTCTGTTCCTTGCTCCTCCCAAATCGGTCCAGGCGGCACTCCCTGCACTTGTGAAGATGAGGTGCGATGTCATTACAAGAACCATCCTGTACGAAGCAGTCCCCACTTGACATGAGCCTTTTCAGCTTCTGTGGGTCCATTAGTATGGATCTTGGATAGGTCACTGAAAACGTAGCATAAAACATTCCTTAAAGTGACAAAACACACACCACGAAAGACAAAATAGATACAACCAGAAAGTATAAAAGTTTTTCTTGATCATAACTGCCAACTAATTCAGTGGAGCAAGAATGACCAACGTACCAGGCCCTTAAAAAGGAAGATTCGCTACCTTTCTGAAATACTGCCTGCAAGCTAATCCGGAGTAAACAGTTTTCCTGCAGAATCCCCTCCCCTCTAGGAATACAGTCAGGCAATGACACTACTCAAGGTACGTTTACAATTTTAAGAACCTACTAACTTACCCCCATCATTTTTACTGGGGCTCTTCGAAAGTGAAGCTTCAACTTTTTTTGGCATCACAGGAATATTAGTTTGTGGCTTGCTTTTGATGTCAATTGCAACAGTTGATACAGCTGACAAAGCAGGGGTAGGCTTCGAATCTGTTGATGGAGTAGTGCCAAACAGACGATGATTGCCATCTGTCTTCCATGACAAGTTCTTGCAAGCATCGGAACTTCCCAACCTTGGAGAATCAGTCACCGAAAGGGTGTTCTTCTCTGGAAATCGTTCAACTGAAAACTCAAAACCTTTTGGGAAAACTGTGGATGGTTTTGTAAATGCAGCAAAGAGGTTTTCAGATTTCAGTCCGTTTTCCCCGTTTGCGTTGCTGGCCCAGGAAGAGAAACCTCCGCCCGAGGAGAACAGCCCAGCTGACTTGTCCAATCCAAATCCAAGACCCGTACTGCCTTGAGATGCTGCAACACTTAGGAACAAATTCTTCTCATCTCCGTTCAGTACGGAAGTTTCACCTGGTAAATTCTGGGTACACTTCCTACAAAAAAAAAAACAAAATCAGAACAAAAACAACTTAGCACGTGGAGACAATGTTACTACCAATAACTGAAACCAATGACCCTGTCCCCAAAGAGTTCATTTCCTAGCAAGCCTTCTCTGTCCTTGCACATCATAGGCCTCTCCTTCTCTGGGCATGCCAAATACTGGCCCAGCTCTTCCACCCACTCTACATAACCTTTTACGTTGCCGCTGAGGGAGGAGCAAATGGGAAAATTATAGAGTGTCAAGAGTGACAGATTTGAGTCTGGAGACATATCCAAGATGGCGTAATGCAGAGGCAGTCTTTGGTCTTTTGGATGGCCACACAAGAGGCCTTTTACAGTTTACATAACCTGTCCAAAATATTTAAATGCACCTACCTACCATGTAACCTTCTGGAAAGATTGCCAACTATTCTACTTTAGAATTAAGTCTTTATAACAAAATTGTAAATGTTTAACTTACTCTGTAGGCAAACTAACTTAACTACTTCTATGATGTAATGCAAGATCACAAACATCTATACACAGTCATGACAGGTTTTTACCCTGGAGGTGTGGCAGCACCAAAGTTTGGTGGAGAATTGGCTTGTGGCGGAGTAGCACGGGATGTCTGCGCTTGGCTTGCAGGAGTTGTAGCTGTACAGCCTAGTAGTGCTTCTCCAAATCCTACGGGAACAGACTGCTTGGAGACGGTTTTCTAGATTAAAAAAATAAAATTGAAAATGATAGCCAAGTGCATAACATTTTGTCAGTATCCCAAAACACACTGAAAATTGTCTACTTCTTCCTGCCTCACTTATGTTCCCCACTGTACAGTAAGTAAAAGACAAGCAAACTGCACATTTATAAGCTAACAAAAATTAAGTTTTTTAAAATATATGACTATATCAGGGCTCTACAAATGCAAGGCACCAGGTCGCCGTCAGGAGACAACAGCCCATTTACAAGTAGGGGTTCCGGCATCCCAAGGGGCCCCGAACCACAGGCTCCAACCAGGGCTATGTGTTACAGGTGCTATCAGAGCAGACCGGCTGCCAGGATGCAGGAGGGTGAATTCCAGGTGTGGAAGTGGTTGGGGGGCCTGCTGTCAGGCAGGCTTCAGTCAGGAATGGCAGTGTACATCAGGCTGGGTGATGCCAGTGGAGGAGGCCCCCTGCTCTTTTTTGCAGCGGTCGCCAGAGATTCTGGTAGAGATAGGGCACAGGCTCAGCAACCCCTCCTGGCACCAGATCCTCTTCACAGACACCATCTGGAGGAGCTGCTGCTGGACAAGTGACAGCTGGGAGGACTGGCGCTTCCCAGCCCACCACCCCCATCTGGCCCCTAACTTTTTTTGAGCTGGCTCCTAGATTTAAAGCAAATTTGTTAAGCACTAGGCTAAAGGTTTCCTTTAAACCCCTTAAAAGCAGCACTATTTTATGACACACACACTCCAGAATTTTACTTTACAATTAGGAATTCATTGCAATTAAGTCAACCTACTCCTTGGTCAGATGATTTGATGAAGCTCAGAAGAGGATTTCCTGAAGACTTTGGGTTATCCACCACTACCAAGGTCTTCCCATCATCTCTGGAATATGTGATGAAGCTTGGCTTCTGGGCAGCCTCAACAGGTGCCTAAAGTAAAAAGTGCACATATTGGAGTTACGCAAATTCACGGGGTTACAGAAACATGTAGTGAACATCAAAAACGCCACTTACTGGTTCAACACAGGTCTGCTTTGCATCAGGCTTTACTGGAGGTCCTTCTGAAGTTGGCCTTTTCTGAGGTCTTTTGAGTTTCACTAAAACAATTTGCAAAGATTAGCAAGTCAAGAGGCAAATGCGCATAAATAAACTCATAATTAGTAATCTAAAACAAAAACATGCCATTGCGAACAAACTGTTAGACCAAAGCATACCTTTATCCACATAGTTGTGCATAATCTCCACATGAATTAATGCTGGGTCAATAATAGTTAAACTGGGAACCTAGAATTAAAATAAAAATCATATTACAAAATAAGAGAAAAAAAAAAAAACACAAGTAGTTAGTAGCACAAAACTAAAGATCTAATCTTGAGATCCTCAAGCCAAAGGGCTGATTATCCTGAATTATTAAATGTCTTTATCTAAGCTTTCGTCTCCAGTTCTACCCGGTGACATGTCAGACCAAATGTTCTGCCAATGCTAGTGTGCAACGGTGTATATATTAGAACCTCAAATCCAGCCATATTTCAATACAAGCAAGGCTAAGCCTACAGTTTATTTAACTATTGTCTTCCTACTGGTGTCATTCTCCTCGCCTGTGTGCTCATCAGTACAGGGAATGAGAGGAAGCTCTCCCAAATTGAGACACAGACCTAATGGGAATAGGAGGAATAAGTGTTAGCAGGTCATATTTAATAAATTTCTACGAGGTTAAGGACAGGTTCACCTTCTGGAGCATATTACAAGCATATTTAGGGTGTGACATGCTCCAGACCTGAACCCCCCCCCCCCCTCCCCCAGGTTCAATGCTCTACAGGCGTCTGTGAATAAATAAAATGCACTTTCCTGCACAAATTTGCTTTTTTTTTTTTTTTTCTTTTTTCAAAAAAAAGGGAACCTTTGCCTTTGATTATTGTTCTCTTAGATTGTAAGCTCCAAGGAGCAGAGCCCTCCTATCCCTCTTGTATTGAACTGTATTGTTGCTGTATTGTCTCCCGTTACATTATAAAGCACTGAGCAAACTGTTGGCACTATATAAATCCTGTATAACAATAATTGTGCTTTTAATTTAGACCAATGTCATACCTGAAAATAGACCTTTGATTACAGCTCGTAACTCACATGACCAGTAGGGCACCAACCAGCATTATCATGTCACATTATGGTTCGGAGCTTAAAAAGGGACACCATCCCTAATTCAATTCACACCCCAGATACTAACCTTTATAGTGATCCCCCCACTGCAACTGGCATTAAAATACCTGTTATAGGCTTGTGTCAGAGCCTCCATCAGGTGAAAGTGACTGGCTGCTAGACCCAAGAACTGTCGGAGAAGGTTTCGAATTTCTTTTGCAATATGAAGTGTATGTCGGTGCTGATTTTTAAATGCAATTGCACATAACACTTCTAAGCAGGGCTTTTACTGGTAAAAATTAATTGGTAATAACAATTATTGGTTGTTCTTTGAACATGTCCATTTGCAAATTATATATAAATACAGGTGTGCTTCGGTTTACGAACACTTTGGTTAACGTAATTTTCGGTTTACGAATGAAAATCCATTGAAAATAATGCCTCAGTTTACAAATTTTTTTTGCAATATGAAGTGTATGTCAGTGCCGATTTTTAAATGCAATTGCCGGCTTTTTTGTTTTCTTCACGAAAGCTCACAGAATTAGCTGTCACTTTCCCCGAGCTTAAGAATACTTTGTTTCTTTTATCCCTGGGAAACAAACTAAAAGGAAACATTGTTTCTTTTAAGAAACCAAAAGGAAGCATTACTTCTTTTAACTCGGGGACAAACTAAAAAGGATAAACTTTCTTTTAGCTGGGGGGAAGTGACAGCTGATTCTCTGAGTGAAGAAAAAAAAAAAAGCCGGTAATTAGATTTAACAACCAGCACTGACCTACAGTGGCAGCAATTTTTATTTCTACTTCTTTCTGACCTGCGGAACGGATTAATTGGTTTTCAATGCATTCCTATGGAAAACTGCGTTTCAGTTTACGAATTTTTTGCAATGCAAAACGTCCCAGAGAACACATGAAATTCGTAAACCGAGGTAAACCTGTAAATCTTTTTTTAAATAGATTAAAAAATTGATCATGAAGCAGATTTCTCCTATGTGTACTGTATAGTATAAAATACTACAGTTCCCCGCTATATCTAGTGCATAGAAGAATGAACCAAGACCAAGGATATGGCCCAGTAAAGTAACTAGGGATCTGGTTAGTACCCCCAATTACAGAGCACCTCATATTTTGAGGAGGGTGTGAGGTGCAGTGTGAGGAAACCACAAAGAGCAAATTCATAGTAAGTGAAGAAGACTACGCATGCAGGAAAAAAATAGTGGCTGCTAAACCAGGAAGACCGTCCTAATTTATGGATATTTACCTGTTCACATTTAATCTGCAGAGTGCGAGAATTGCTGTTGGCATTCACCACTGTGGCAGTGAACCACTGGATTCCTTCACTCATGCTGTAAACCTTTATAGACGTCCCAACTAAATTCTTGGCACCTACAGCAGAAAAACTTGTTTAGATGCTGAAAACTCAAACAAAACTACACAACTACTAATAGACTAATAATACTGGTAGCTCACTATTAAGTCTTTTACAAAACACAAGATAAAGTGTGACCTCACCTTGTAATATGCGGCTCTCATCCACATTTTTTCTTATCAGCTCCTGAAAAGCCTTGTTAAAAGTCCGGTTTCCTTGCATAAACTGCTTCAAGCTCTCCCGATCCTAGAATAATAAGCAATGTTTGTAAAAACCAACACACTGTTCTATGCAGGGTAAATGGATCCTAGGGTGTCTACATACAAAATGTGTACACTATTTTTCCTTGGTTGTGTTAATGAAAGAAAATTAATGGGTTCACTAGAATTTGCCTTCACATGGTTTATTTTTGTTTTTTTTGAAAAATATTCTAACTCTATTCAAGAGACATAAAAAGGACATTAGATGGAAAAAAAATGAATTTGTAATGATTAGGCACCACTATCCATGGCATACCCCGTTATCCTGTAAAACAATTTCCTGCTTTATGATTTGCCTTTTTTTTTTTCCTTTCCTTTTCTTTTTTTTTTTAAACACGTGGGGGGTAACAGGCCTGTGGATAGCTGAGACTTATAATGAAGTCTGGCTACCAGGAGAGATGTTGACCTAACAGAGGCTTTTCTCACCCAAAGCTCTAAAAGCTCCAGGGTCAAGAACAGAAAACACGAAGACAAATGGCTCAAATCGCACTGCAAATGGAACTACACCCGCAGGAAAGTCTCATGTGATTTGGACAGGAATTGCACTGCTACTTCAGCTGAAGTAGCACAATTCCAGTTCAAATCACGTAACTCTTTACAGTGCGATTTGAGCCCATTCATTTTGTATGGGCTCAAATCACACTGCAAAAGGTATCAGTTTCAGGTATTGGAGCATTTGAGGAGTACTTGCTTAGTATGGCCACCGATACCTGTACAACTCTAACCTTACTGTAGGTCTGAAGGCAAAATTGGACTACACGGGTTCACCTAGCTGCTCCCTCAACTATAACAAAGCAACAAAGTCAACAATTACCCGCACAGGCTTCACAACTTCTGTATGCATGTAGACTTTGTTCTTGTCCCCAAGAAACTGTATGCATGTCATGGGTTCCATAGACACTTTGGCCACCAACGCCTTATATTGCTGTTTTATGAAAAAGAAAAATGAAATTCAGATAGTGTGCAAACACACAAGAAAATGTGAAATATGAAACTGACACTTTTTCAAACACTTTTCATTTGTGTCATAGGCCACAGGTGATGAATTTGAAAGGCAATTTCAAAGTTCTAGAAAGTATACTAAATGAGCAGTTGTGTTTAATGAAAAGTCAGTGGCATTTAAGGATCCCCCATATCTCAGCTTCATTGCTTGAGATGATACTCACCATTGCTGGACACAGCACAGATACCGAGGGGTTACTTGGACACTGGCGATCAGCCACTGCCAGGCTGTGCTCAACCAAGAACAACTGGACTTGGGCACCATATATATCAATCCATATTCTGTTCTCCCATGGCTCATCTTCAAACTCCACACAAACCTATAGGGGAAAAAAAAATGAATATACTAAAAAGGATTAAGAAATAATACAGCAGACACAAAGCAATGCGTGCCACTAAACCTATATTTAGTAGCAGACACGTGCAGAACTTCCGGTTGTATGACGCACAATAAACACAGACCACACACACACACACACGGCTAATGTATGTTAAAGCCTGCTGACTACTTCCATCTAGATTGCATTCAATGCAAGTCAGCAAGACCAAAACAGAAAATGTTCAGTCAATACAGCAGTTAGCAGCGCCTCAATTCTGAACAGACAATGTTCTCCCCAGACCAACACTCAAAGAAGGATCAAAAATCTAAATATTCTAGTAATAAAGTCAAAGTTTCGAATGACAAATATGTGAAATAGCGTCACTCCCTACAAGTAAAAGCTACAGGCTGTCAGTCTTACAAGGCTCATGTAGAAAAGCATTATATTTCTGGGTTTGGAATCTCTCTCTCCTTTCTGCAGATTCCCATTTACTTTAATCCTGTAATGTAGATGACCATTCTGGAGCTGCGCTTGGCATTCAAAAGCCTGTATTTACGCAGCGCTGCACTCGCATGCAAAATGCAGGGTTCATAGACATAGCCTGTCTACAGGAGCCTTAGTGGGAGGAAAAAAAAAAAAACCAAACCGCTCAGCACACCACGCCTAGCAACAGCTGCTCCTTGCCATGCCAAACTATTTTCAACATTCATAAATTTCAGTTTGAACGGCATAAACGTCCGTATGTGCTTGGAGAAAAAAAAAAAAAAAAAAAAAAAAATATGAATAGCTGCATTTGTAATTCCCTTTTAAAAGGAAGGAAAGTCAGAATAGATTCAAAACCTTTAATAAAAAAAAAAGGTTGTTGTAGCTTTCATGCAGCCAACACCTCAAAGCAGAACTAAATCTACAAATGCATAAACTGCAAGCAGACGTCACTTTACTGCAGAAGAGATATGCTATAGAGGTGATTTACTAAAACTGGAGCGCGCAAAATCTGCATTGTAACCGATTAGCTTCCAGGTTTTGTCGTCCGAGCTTAAAAATGAAGCTGATTGGCTACAGTGCACAGCTGCACCAGATTCTAAGGCTGACAATACACTATACAATTTTCTGGCCAATTTCCTTTAGATTTACCTTTCACTATGTAGTGCATGGGCCTGCCTAATTGGATACAACTGAAAGTATTGTTTAGGTTTGACCTCCTATTATATGTTTTTTTTTGGTAAATCTAAAGCAAAATTCTCAAGAACATTGTACAATGTACAGTCAGCCTAAGTGTAGCAGTTTTAGTAAATCTCCCCCTATGTGTCTTCTGATATAATAGACACTTGCCTGCCTGCTTGCGGTTTTCCAATGAATGTACGCCAAGCTGTGCACCTCTGAATGCATTCCTGGCTGTACTGGAATGACTGGTTCCCAGGTGCATGCATGGGATCACATCACTCCCCAGCCAATCAAGAGCCTGAAAACCCAAGCCAAGTTAGCCCAAGCAGAAGATGACAATGGCCACCAAAGGATGCAACTGTCCCATTGCTTTGAGGTAGGAGGTGAGTCATTTGGATTTTTATTCAGCACTTTCCCACATTTGAAGTGGTCCAACAGCTTACAAGAGCCCTCCGACACCCTTCTAAGGGGGACCACCAATACAGGGTTTTCAAGAAAATGAAGCAAATAAGGTTCAGTAAATATACAGGATTTACATAGCGCCAACCAGGGGTGGACTGACAACTCATGGGGCCCCCGGGCAATAGGGGAACATGGGGCCCCTGTGTCCTTGCCCAAACTCAAAAAAGCCTATAAAAAAAAAAAAAAAAAAAAAAAAAAAAAAAAGTACCAGGGGCATCTCATGGGGGCCCCCTACTGACCCTGGGTCCTCGGGCAGTGCCCAAATTTCCAAATGGTCAGTCTGCCCCTGCATAGCGCCAACCAGGGGCAGACTGACAACTCATGGGGCCCCCGGGCAATAGGGGAACATGGGGCCCTTGTGTCCGTGCCCAAACTCAAAAAAGGATATTGGGGGGGAAAAAAAAAAAAAAAAAAAAAAAAAAAAGTACCAGGGGCATCTCATGGGGCCCCCTACTGACCCCAGGCCCTCGGGCAGTGCCCAAGTTTCCAAATGGTCAGTCCGCCTCTGGCGCCAACATTTTACGCAATGCTTTACAACATGAGGGCAGACAGTACAATTACAATACAATTTAATACAGGAGGAATCAGAGGGTCCCGGCTCTATATAAATCCTGAATAATAAAAAAAACTGTAGATAATACCGGACCTTATAAAACTATAAATTAGCAATTTATGAAAGTAGTCAATACAGATTTAAAACCAATCCAAAAAGAACATTAGATTGTACCCCCTTGAGGGTCAGGGACTGATGTGAATCTACCATTATATATGTAAAGCGCTGCGTAAATTGATGGCGCTATATAAGTACCTGAAATAAATAGAACATAAAACGGGTAATATGATTAAAAAGACATGAATGGAAAAAATGAGATGGGATGCATCAAGATGCTTCTATAACTTCCAACATCAAATGTGATTGCATTCTCACGTCCATATAGCAGCCAAATCAGAGCAGAATCGTATCCCTTGTTACCTTGTCTGATATATAAAACTGGTTCTCCCAGCAGTATAACTGGGGAGAATAGGATCAGCTGTGAACACAATTATTGCATTTGAATAGTGAATGGAAAGCTGGGTAATATACACTGTGGATGTGTCAGAGATGAAGTGACCTCCCAGTGAGGGCGGGATTTAGATCCACTCCCACTTCATGATGGGAGGGGCTGATCACCATGTGGCCGTTTGTTTACATGAATTTGTCCTCATATCTTCTAACCAGTAGTGGGAGGGGATGAGTAATCATTAGAAAAGGATTTTTTTTTTTTTTTTTTTTTTTTCAGATCAGCCAGCCCACAATGAAAAAAAAAAAACATTACTGGTGTCATTGCTTCTATTTTATTGGGATAAGATCTAATCACAAAACCAAAAGTCTACAGGGACACATCAGGGTTAAAGCTTCATATCCTCCTGCAACGTATCAAACTGAACGGTTCAAAGCCTTCCTTACGCCATCAGAATCTGATGCAAGCAGAACCCTACAAATGCACATTTAACATGGACATAAGCCAGCGATATCAGAATGGTTGCTGGGGCAGGGTGTCCCTTAAAGGATCAACAACTTATAAAATGCTCAACACTTTCAAATACACGTATGAAAATTGGAGCTTGGAGTCTGCAAACGAAGAGGGAAGAACCCTGGTTTTCTCCTACCCGAGACCATCACCCAACCAAACCTCGGCTGCATTCCCAATTTTCATAGATTTAGCAGAAAAGAAAGGAACCTTCTAACCAATGTTGAAAATACAACTGATGACTAGTCAAACAAAGAACATTGGTGACATTCAAATGTCATTCGAAAAGTTTAAGATTTGATTTTTAGAGCGAATGGACTTTACCAAAATGAGACCACATTGACTGTTAAAAAATTTGTACACTTAAGAAAACTTTTCATCCCGCTCCTTCGAATTCTCCCATCACTGCAATCTAAAACGAACAGTGATTTAACACCACTAAGAATTCGAAAAAAAACAGACAAGCATTCTTACAATGAAAAACATCAAGACGAAGTTCTACTAGTGCATATCCAGCTGGACACAATGAATTCATGCGTGAGCATTCAAGTGCCAGTAAAATCTCGTGTGCCATTTGTACCTATAGGTAAGCCGATTGTTTCCTAAACCTGCACCCTTTAGGAGATATTCTAGCGAGCAGCAGCTGGTGACATCACTGGCGCACGCGCTCTGAAGGAACGGCGTACCCGTGATGTTCCTTCAGAGTTCTGTGCCTGGGGCTCCCACGCGCATGAGCGGGAGTGACGTCATCACGGATCGGCCAGACGGCCGAAGCCTGTGGACCCAGAAAGAAGATCGGGTGAAGATTTAAGCTGGCAGTGACGGTGCGCCGCTGGAGGACTTCATTTTAAGGCAAGGATTTCATAATGTGCTAGTATGCAGTGCATATTATCACATTATTTACCTTGCAGGGGGAAACCTTTTTCTCAGAGATTTTACTAACGCTATAACCACTCAACTGCAAAAGCATTAAAGCCAAGAATAAATAGGAAAAAAAAAATTAGCCTTTTGTGGCTTGCTTGGCAACACCCCTTTAACCGCTTCCACCCCACCACACACACACTTTGCAGTTCTGGGTAGGGGGTGCGTGCCAGTATATATTAACCACCATTTGCAAATTAATTAATTTACACGTATTGGGATTTTTTTTTTTTTTTTTTTTTTTTATAAAGACATGTAGCAGAATACATTTTGGCCTAAATTTATAATGAAATTTGATTTAAATTTTTTTTTTAACCAGATGTTTAAAAAGCAAAAAATATGTTTTTTTTTTTTTTCAAAATTGCCTTTTTTGTTTTTAGCTCAAAAAATAAAAACCGCACAGGTGATCAAATACCACCGAAAGAAAGCTCTATTTGTGGGGAAAAAAAAGGACGTAAATTTTATTTGGGTACAGCGTTGCATGACCGCACAATTGTCAGTTAAAATAACACAGCGCCATGACAAAAAAATGGCTCTGGAGGACAAGTGGTTAATCACAGATCCTTCCAAGACTGTGCACAGTCACACACACTGAGCCCACGTAAAACATTACCACAGACCAATATGGGAGCCAAACAATAGAATTTGGGGTTTTTTAACCATTTCCAGTCAAAAAACGTACCATTTTCTAGGAAGCCAAAGGCAATGGAGATAACGGTTCCCCGGAAAGTGGCTCTTTCCCGCAAGTCCCTTGACTGGCTATCGCACTCAGTTCATACATTCAGCTCAGGATCAGTTGGTGGGAAAATGTTTCTCTAGATTATACAGCATTGTCACCAACTACACTGAAGGGCATTAAGGTATAAAAAAAAAATAAATAAAAAAAAATCCACAGATACACAGCTTAGGCCCCATTCACACTTGGTGATTTGGAATCTCTGG